GTTTAACAATTGATCGTGTGTTTAAGCCTTCAAGGGGCGCCCCAAAGTTACTAGACCACAGAAGCCAAATTGGGTAAGCGACAAACAACCTTTTTGCATGACCTCACTTTATTTCTTATTTTTTTCGTGTAATAAGGAAGCAATATTCGCCATACAGTCCACTGATAATTCAACCATATTAATTGCATCCTCAAACATTATACTGCATCCTGATCTCTCTTTGCTCATGGGTCTGACTTGTCATCAGAACAAACATCAGCTTATGATTATGTCTACCTGTGTTAAGGTGTCATTGTTTCTCAAACTGTCAGAGACTTCTGTGAGAACAGACCTAATTTCTCAGAAAAAAAAAAATTAGAATCTCATTCATCCGTTATCTGCTGACTTTTTGCTGGTCAATTTAATCATCCAATGTCGATGCTACGAAACTACGAAACCTGTCAATTTCTCTTGATATTTCTGTCAATAAATCGATAAATGCAATGGATGAGACTTCTATCAATAATCCGCGACATGTCTGCTAAAAATATAAAATCCATAAAAACAATAAAATTACACCCATCCAGTCCGGCGTTCCTTTTTCTGGAAAACTTTTATGCTTCAGATTCACGAGTCCAACTCCTGCGGGATTCAAAACTGAGTTTCATGGGGGACTTTCAGCACGTCGTTTTCTACGACCGCCAGAGGACAATACCTTGATTTAATATAAAATTGGTTTTCGTGCTACAACAATCGAGCAAATTTTTTGTCCTTGTCCGGAAAAAAAAAATTGAGCATATTTTCCAATTACCGACAATGCAATGACCCAGTAATAGAGAGTCGCGAAAAGCGCATGCATATACACTTCATAATATCGATTCGAAAAGTTGTTGATGTTTCGTATTCTTTCCAGCGTATAGTCAATTCGAAAGTTCCGACACAACTTTTCACTTACAGCATTGAATTTTTGATGTGCCCGGCTGCTGCTATGAAAAATTTGCCGGACGTACAGTTAAAAGTTTGATACGGGGCGATAACTTTTCAAATTAGCGTCAAGCAGAATCATAAATTCATAAACTGGGCACTGTTAGGAAACGACAGCGATCGCATTAATGCTGCGACACTAAATGTTTACAGAGTACTAAAAATATAACTTAATAAAGCCCAGCGAGCTAAGCAAAATAAATAGTTTTGTGTTTAATCTAGCTAATGTCTCTTAACGCGACTGGCAAGAGCGTGCTCGAGCTCATTTTTAAAACGGTAAATACAACAGGAGGGACTTTAATGAATATGGCAATTACAACTAACATTTCTTGATGAAATAATATTTTATGTGGTTGGTTGGTTTAAGGCGAGCTCGCGTTCCAATTTGCACTGCGTTTTGTCCTGCGAGCCAGTGCTTCACAGTCGTATATTATGTGTAAGGCGGTTTTGTCCTGTCCACCACACAGTCTATATGTTATTGGGCCATTGCGGACTATCATTTTATACATGTGCGCTTCAAGCTGGCAGTGTCCTGTTAGTAGTTCTACCACTCGTCTTGTCTGAGTACGCGTTACTAACATTACTTCAGATTTTTAGTATCTTTGAGGGGTTTTCAACCGTCAAAAGTCAAGGTGTAAATGGGTCAACTGCCATCTTTATAACCTGCTTCAATATCCCAAATGAGGGTTTTGGTCTTTTGTAGGGTGCAGCTGCGCCCGCTCTGGCCAGTTCGTCAGTATTTCCATTGCCTTCTATCCCCAAATGCCCAGGAACCCACAGGAGCTTTATCTTGTTATTCCTTAACGATAGAGCTTCCAGGTCGTGTAGGCATTCCATCTGTTCTGGTTGTTATAACCAGCCTTAGAATTTCCTGTTCGCATTGGCCCCACGTTGGGCGCCAATTTGTTACAAATTAATTGAATATTTGGACTTTAAGACAAGATAACCTAGGGTCGTGGAATTCAAAAAATTAAAATAACGTGTAGTCCCTTTATGTGCAAATGAAACCACTCAAAATCCAATAAACAATAATTTTATTTTGTATACAATGTTATAAAGTAACATAGAGTAAAAAGTAAATGTTACTTTCTGTAAAATTTGAGTGTTGACAACTTGGTTTTTCCGGTGAATCTGTACCATGTAGCTTTCCAATCCAGAACTCTTCAATGTGTGTTGGGGTTTCACTTTCGTGAACTGGAGCTCTTCGTGTTGTTTCCTGTATCCAGGAAAGAGGATAGATTGCTGGGGTGACGTCACTCCAGCTGAACCAGACTCCAAACAGTGATCTTTAGGTCGAGTAGGTACACAGGAGAGAATAAGGCACTATCAGGTTCACCAATATTTGGAATATTAAATCCCTGAATTCTGTTAAAAAGTGAGTGTCTTGCAAAGGAAATTGAAATTGAATTTTAATAAAAACTATTGTTGTACAGACACTCCCTTCCAACAGGTACGAACAGCTATTGCAAATTGAAGAAAAAAAAAATATATTTTAATATTTAAAAAAAAAAATAATAGTAACATTAGAATAATAACAGCAAGATTAAATTAAAATGCTCGTTATGATTGAGCAAAAATATGAACAAAATAAGGTAAAACAATAGGAAATTAAATCTTTGGATTCTCCTCCAAATAGACAAAATTTTCCTTTCAAATAAAGGTAGCTACCATGGATACTACAAGATAAACCTGACGATGAAATCAATCAAATCCAGAATGTGTCAAAATTTTTGAGGTGTTTTAATTAAAACTTTTTAACTGAATTTTTGACCTGTTTGGATTTCTATTAAAAAAAATTACACCCTTTAGTCGAGATAATAATTGACGGAGTCAAAGAGAAAATGGCTATTCAGGCCTCTGCCTGGATTCAATAAAGAGTTGATAGGGATGGACACAAAAATTTGGTTTTCACCGACTCTATTAAGAGCGAATGGTCCAATATTCCCACACTAACAATTGATTCTGAAAACCAGAGCAGCAGTACCTTATTTATTAGTCCAAAAATCCGAATTGACTTACCTCAGATAAACGTGGCACTACCAATCGCACAAAATGGAAGCCTACAATTAGATAAAAAATTAAAATATAATATTTATTTTTCAAGAATAGATAAGATAAGATTTATCAGGTAAAAACTTAATAAGGATATGATAATATGCATTGATAGCAAAATATATTGAAAAATTTATGAGGGAGAATCCAAAAATATAGAGCAAAAATTATTAAAAATAAAAAGGACTCGCCTGCTAGACTACTGTCGAGAAAAAAAAAAACGTTTTAGAAACCAAACCCCACAGGAAAACGATCCTGTGTTTTTTATACTTGCATATACTGCATTTCAACCAGTTCAACCAATCAGCCGAATACACCCAAAAGATCATATTCACTTTACAATGAAATCACAATGAAAAACAACGTGGAATAAAAGAGAATAGATAAAAATCTACTAGAATTATTTTAATTGTTTTCTAATGTAATCTAAACTTTTACGTTAACTTTTTATTCACTTTCTCTTGAACAAAAGTAGCAAACCCCTAAAAAAATTGACAAACTCACAGGTGTCTTATTTTTTACAGAAACAGAATTGCCCATATACAAGGGTGTAATGAAAGAACTTGATAACAAACTACAATAGAATCAACTCTCGTATGCAAGAATATTCAAGAATTGACCCCCCGACCTCTTCTTATTTAATACGATGCGCAAGGGTATATTAATTCACTTCTACTGCATTATTCAGCACGAGGTTCAACATTATAAAAATATTACCCGTTGATATAAAATTTCACATTACAATTGCCAAGGAGGAAGTAAGGGGAAATCCGCAGAAGTTTTTGTACACAATTTGGAAGTTGGCTACATCCTCGACATACAAAATGTTATTTATATATGATAAAGTGCTGTTACTCCTTTGGTTAATCAATTAACAAGAGGCCCATAATATGCTCGGTATATAGCTATAGCCAACTTTATTTCGTTACGATAATGCCTGAAGGCCGATAAGGTACTTTTTCCAGGAGAACGGGAATCGATAATTCACTTCGGAAGATGACTGGCTCCCTTAGGCCACAGTCGGATCTTTTCAGGGCAACGGCCAAATTAGAAAAGGAACTCTTCAATTTTATCTTCCAGAATAGATTTCACTTGACATTTTTGAAGAACAACGTGTCAACCCTCAGCTATGTGAAAAGTACTACGTTCGAAAACTATTAACGAGGTTAAAGAGCAACGAAGTACTAGGGTCGAGTACATCAAGGTAGTACAAAAGAAAGCGCCTATGGCCTTCTCGAGGTCACCGATAAACCAATTAATTCAGCCGGCAATAGATGCCGCCATATGGCTGAATAATTATATGAAATTATAAAATGTAAAAATTATTTATATAAAAAAAAGCAATTGACATTTGCAATGTTACAGTGCATAGGAACTTTTTCCATAGACTATAAGGAGATTGATACACGAAAATGAAAGTAAAAAAAAAGAAGGGTAATTTAGACTTTAGGTACTTTCCCAAACTACACAGAGAGGAGGTGTTACCTGGGTTTAAAGAACAGAATTCTGGTGATTATCAGATGAGCAGCAGAAAGCAGTATAGAAAGATACAGAAACCAACAACATTGCGACGCAATATGCTGAATCTTGGAAGTTGGCTCCCTTTTGTTAATTAATGAAGAAAATCTTCCAACTATAAGGACTTATAAAATGGCACAAATTGCGTAATCAATCAAAAGAAGAAAAATTCCGAAAAATCGGAACAAACGTTATATTACTTTTGCATTTTCCATATTATCTTTTTGGGGGGTTCTCAGATCGCGTCGAACGATGATATCGGTTTATTTTGTCAAATTCCCTTTGTATCTCTATTCTTTATTTTTGTAGGTATATGTAATTTTCTTGTTCGGCTACAACTTGTCCAGTATAGAAACTAGGGTTCATAAAACACGAATGGAATGACTAAACAACTTTTTTTTTACAAACACATAGAGGGTAAACAGTATTCATTCAAATTTATTAACCGTCATATTCTTTTGTTCCAGTACGAACCGCTCCAGAGCGTAACAGGCACAAACGGGCTTCAACACGTCGTCCTTTACGAATGCCAGGATAATACTCACGTCGAGAAGCTGGCCGATACACCGGGCCGACAATGTCACGAGTCACATTCTCAACCGTTCATGTGCAATACAGTTGTGGCTAGCTGGGCCAAAGGGTCTGAAGGATTTAGTTTTCCACCCGAGGCCGGCTATCCTTTGGATTCGAGCAATAAGTATGTAGATTTAGAGTTTCTAATGCATATTATATAATACGATGTGAATTTCCCTCATTTTGATATGAAATTATGTTCGATGATTTTATTTTAATGGAGGTAATTAGTTATCTTTATTGGCTAGAGTATTATTTAGCACTAGTAAATAGAATTCAATTTATTTATCAATTATTCTCTTTCAGATATTACCTTATGGAAACTCACTACACAGTCCCAATGGACGGTAACGTAGGCTCCATCGATGGTTCCGGTTTGCGTTTGTTTTACACCCCCGAACTACGCCGTCACGACGCCGGTGTCATTTCAATAGGCATGGACCCGAATTGGCGTCACATTATTCCGCCTGGTCAAAATCGTGTCGTGTCTTCGGGACATTGCGTGTCCGACTGTACCGGACAAGCGTTTCCGCATTCCGGCATCAATATGTTCGCGGTAGTGATGAAAACCCACAAAATCGGTAAACAAGTGGCCTTGAAACATATTCGCGGCAATACGGAGCTAGCGCCCGTCGTTAGTGACGACAACGTCGATTCGGATTATCAAGAGTATAGAAAGCTCGGAGTGCCCGTGAGGATTTTGCCTGGTGATCATTTAATTACTGAGTGTACTTATAACAGTTCCGGTAGGAGTGCTATTACGTTGGGAGGTTTGACAAGTCGCGAGGAAACTTGTCTTGTAATGGGACTGTATTATCCTAGGCAGAAGGCTTTAGCTGCTTGCCATAGTTTGCCTAGTTTGCCGACTGTACTGCACTCTTTGGGGATTCAAGAACTTAACCCGTAAGTATATAGATTTATTGAAATTTGTAGTCCTAGGAACCTTATGAAGTTCTTGACTAACCTCATCTCCAATCAGAATATTTTTCAAAAGGAAAAGTCAGAGTACAAGCGTCAAGTATACCTACAGTGAAGACAGTTGGATACTTCACTAGAGGCATTATGGATGTTATTCCAATCTTGTTTTGGTATCCTGGCTTATGTTGCAATGACGAGAATTAATGATTTTGAAACTGGTCTGTAACTAGCGTGGATACTTCGCATGGAAATTTGACTTTTCTCCTCATTGTCATACAGAGTAGAATCACTCGTATTTCATATTCTAGCAGTGTCTAGAAACATACAACCACATAGTATCAGATATAGTATAGTATGATACGATTTTACTGTGACTTACTTACTTCTGGAAAATATTCTAATAAGTTTCTTCATGCTGAGAAGGTACACTTGATGTTGAGATTTGATTCTTATTAGATTATTCCTGAAAAATAAATCAATCTATTTTCTACCACAAAAATCAAGGTTCAAGCTATCAATTCGCCTTTTGAAGGTTGATTATAGTATCATTACATAGGTACTAAAATCTTAAATCAAATACCCCAAAATAACCAAGACTTCCTGGATCGAAAAGTGAAATTTGAGCAAAGGATTAAATATCAGTCCATAATAGCTTATCGACTGCTCTATATATTCGTCCTAAATCCTGAAAAGGCTTAGTTCTCTAAACTGTATTAGGCAGCCAGTAATTCGCCTTCTCATTAATGTGAAGTCATATCTCCCCGGATTATGATCCTATTAGCTTACTAGTTTCCACATTGAAGTTTCGACATTGCAAAATTAGTGACTTTATGCGTAAATCCCGAAAAACAAGTTTCTTTTTCGGCATTCAAAAACACTTAAATCGCTTTAATCTAAAACCGTCTAATCTATTCTCGAAAAATAAAGAACAATGGCATCAGCTTCTTAATAGAAATGTTGATGGTTCTGGAACTGTATTATCTCCTCATTGTGTAACGACAATGGGAAACTATTAGACAATTGAAGGAAATTTCTAGCCAATTTCAAGAGAAACAGACACGTGAGTCGAGAATTTAGATTTAAATGGTTTACGGGGAGCTTTCAGTGTCACGAGAGGAGTAGTAATTAGTCATAATTTCATTTGGAATTAAGTCTAATTATTTCAATCGATTAACAAACTGTTTCTTTTTTTTTGCAGCGGTTCAAATCCTGTTCGAATAGCAGCGCCCCCAGAATTAGCAGGAATGACACTGGAATCGAGATTGGTGTCGTACGATTGGGATAATCAGTTTCACAGTTTCCAGGAGGCGACGATGCGCGGCTCGTTTAAACCGATTTGTTGGACTTCGCAGCTAACTTTATTACCGGTAAGTTATTCTCGTGTACAATAATAAACCAAAAGACCACGAGCCACTTAATATTCTCGCGAAGTATGATTTTAACGTTGTTCCGCCGTTTTAAAATTCCGTAGCTAGCAAACTTGCCGACGCTTATTGATGTAGAAAACGAATTTTACCCGCTAGGAAAGTTTCTATACCTGACAACTTTGAAATAAGGTTTGGGGGGGAGAAGAAACTTTTTCCGGGCAAAAATAATACGATTGGGGTTGACGCATGCAAATCGATCATCAAGAAATGACCAGCTCTATTAAATCCAAATTAGTATTCATGGCTGGACATGGAAATAAGTTAAAATCTCGTCATCATTATATTTTGCCAGTTACTGCTTCGGGAATCAAAAACGTATATATTTAAATAATATTTCATTTTATTATGCGGGGTTTATTGATATTAATTCTTATGTGAACATTTTGGTACATTCTAATGTAGGTGGATGATGAATTTAAATTTATAATTCAATTAGATTTTGTAGACGGTTCATGGTCACAAAATTCGAAGATTCTTGGAAGACAGATTCATACATATATAAAATAGTTATTCTAGATACTCCATTACCTTGTTGAGGTTTCTAATGAAGATTTTCTTGAGAACCTGAAATCGTTTTCCCCGTTTAAAGAGGCTCTTTCCAGCTCTGTCGGTGGTAATTCAACTCCTGATAAAAAAGAATGACAAAATTATATTCTCATTAGAATATCATTCCATGGTTAATATCTGCAGGGGGTCCAAAATGTACACATTAAAAAGCTATTTTTCAATAATATCGATATTTGTATACAGTTTTGGAAAAATCACTATCATTTATAAATATATTTTGTGTAAAACTGTATTTCTTGGTACCTACTCGTTAATTTATCTTGACTTTAATTGCCGTTAACTGGCTATTTGTGTTATGTATTTATTAGATATTTTGTATGTTTGAATCTCGACACTACCTATAAAATGTTACGATGATATTATACACCTAGGCACATTGGAATTTAGTTAAAAATAAAGATAGGTACACGGTGTTTTTTTATATATTGACACCCCACCTACAGCCTTTACCTTTACAGGTAAAAGAAAGGTGTAAATACAAAAGTTGTACAATTTTGGCTGAATTTTTAGAAACCATGATCAGAAATAAAATTTGTATGCCAGAAATGTGAAATTTCAAATGCTTCCAGCTTTTTTCAAATGGGATGCTCTATATCTCATTCTATATTCTTGAAGAACACAATGCCCCGATTCCAAAAATATATAGTTTGTTTATATTTGATTGGACAGTCTCTCATATATTCGGCTCCAAAAATTACTATCCTACTACTGATTTTGTGAACCATTCTACCTGTACAGGTGAAAGCTGCAAGTAAAATTTGAGGTACTTGGTTTCTCTGATAGTATTTTTAAAATTTTTAGAACCAAATATGTTGGAGACGGCTCAACCAAATATAGACAAACTACATAGTTTTGGAATCGGGAAATTGTGCTCTTCAAGAATATAAAACCAAATATAGGGCATGCCATTTGAAAAAAGCGGAAAGCATGCAATATTTCACATTTCCGACATTCAATTTTTGTTTCTGACCAGGGATTTTAAAAATTTAGCCAATACTGTACAACTTTTGTATTTACACCTTTCATCTACCTGTAAAGGTAAAGGCTGTAAATGGGGTGTCAATATATAAGAAAACAACCTGTACTTGAACAATAACTTATGTAAAGTCAGAATTTGTAAGATTGTCCACTTTTTGTCAATTTGCCTTTTAACAGGAATTATAAATGTTACTTTACCAAACTAGTAACATAATGTAACAAGTTATTCAAGTACAAACGAGTGGATTGTTGCGGAACTGATGGGTGGACCTCTGCGGGACGAGCGCAGCGAGTTCCGCAGCCATCTATTCACCAATATGTTGTTCAAGTACGATATTAACCTGACTCACTCAAATGTGAGTTTTTCTCATTTGTTCAAAAACTACATTTAGATAAATGTCTTACTTGAACAGTTCAACAGTATATTGGTGAGTAGAAAGCTGCGGAACTCGCTGCGCTCGTCCCGCAGAGATCCAGCCATAAGTTCCGCAATAATCCACTTATTTGTACTTGAACAATAACTTATTATATAAAGTCAAAATTTGTAAGATTATTTACTTTTTGTCAATTTGCCTTTCATCAGGAATTAGTAATGTTACTTTACCAGACTAGTAACATAATGTAACAAGTTATTCAAGTACTTATGGGTGGACCTCTGCGGGACGAACGCAGCGAGTTCCGCAGCCATCTATTCATCAATATGTTGTTTAAGTACAATACTAACCTGACTTACTCAAATGTCAGTTATTCTCATTAGTTCAAAAACTACACGTTTCAGGTGAGTGTCTTATTTGATGTATATTTGTATATTGGTAAATAGCTGGCTGGGAGGTCCACACATAAGTTCCGCAATATTCCACTTATTTGTACTTGAATAATAACCTATTATATAAAGTCAGAATTTGTAAGATTATCCACTTTTTGTCATTTTGCCTTTTAACAGGAATTAGTAATGTTAATTTACCAAACTAGTAACATAACGTGACAAGTTATTCAAGTACAAACGAGTGGATTGTTGTGGAGCTTATGGGTGGACCTCTGTGGGACGAGCGTAGCGAGTTCCGCAGCCATCTATTCACCAATATGTTGTTCAAGTACCTACAATACTAACTTGATTCTCTCAGTTGTGAGTTTTTCTCATGAGTTCAAAAACTACATTTAGATAAATGTCTTAGTTGAACAGTTCAACAGTATATTGGTGAGTAGATGGCTGCGGAACTCACTGCGCTCGTCCCGCAGAGGTCCACCCGTAAATTCCACAATAATCCACTTATTTGTACAGGGTGTTTTTTTATATATTGATACCCCACCTACAGCCTTTACCTTTACAGGTAGAAGAAAGATGTAAATACAAAAGTTGTACAGTTTATACAAAAGTTGTACAGTTTCGGTTGAATTTTTAGAAACCATGTTCAGAAACAAAATTTAAAATGTCAGAAATGTGAAATTTTGCATGCTTCCAACTTTTTTCAAATGGAATGCTCTAGATAATATTCGTCAAACCTGACGAGAGGCGAGAGAATAGCTCTCTCGTTTCGTATCGACAGTCTTTCCTCGAAACGAGAAACTAATTTTCTCTCGAGCCTTCGAGACAAGACGAGACTGTCATCTCGTCTCGTCTCGCGGCATCACTACTCGCATAGTTTTCCATTTTTTCCAAGATCCTCTTGTAAATCGAATTGTGAAACATTATAACAAATCACTGTTAACACAAGTTTCCTTTGATATGACTACTTTATTTCGCAGAAAACTTTAACATTTTGAAATTATTTTGATTGATTGATTCACTACCAGTTTGCATGTGGCGATAGGTAATAGGTAATATAGGTAATATGGAGATATAATAAATATGGGTTTGTTACATATAAATAAGGGTTTGGTACACTCCCCCTCTACTTCACATAAAACGTCCTCGCATGTGAAGTAGGATCATTGCTACTTAATTCTTCGTAACGCTTAGGCCTTCCGTGCTTTCAAACTCGTCTGATGGGCACGGGAAGCTTACACAACAATACCTTTAGAAGTCAATACATGACCAATATATTTAATTTTTGTAGTGGCAAAGGTACATTTCTCTCTGTTAGCTCGTAGGTTGAATTTTTGAAGTCGGTCAAATACTTTTTGCAAGTCGTTTAAGTTTCTGATTCCTGGAATGTTTCCGATAACACTAGCAGATCATCCAAATATGCAAATACCATGACATCAAGACCACTCTTGAATTTATCTATTAGCCTCTGGAATACAGCCGGAGCGTTTTTAAGACCGAACGGCATCCTTTTAAACCTGAATAGACCAAAGAGGGTGACAAATGCCGTTTTATCCCGATGATATTTGCCAAAATCCGGACTGTAAGTTTATTGTGGATATGCATTTTGTCTGTTTTGTTCCTTGTAAAAGGTCATCTAGTCGGGGCATTGGATACTTGTAGCTAATTGTAATGCTATTGAGCTTTTGGTAGTCGATGCACACTCTGATTTTACTATTGGGTTTTGGCACCATGAAAATAGGGACAGCCCATGGGCTCTCACATTCTTCGATTATTATCAATTTCTTCTTTCAATATTTCTCGTTTGGTTTTGTTAAGTTGATAGGATGGTAAAGAAATTGGAATAACATTAGGCTGGGTTCTAATGTGCAATGTGGCAAATTTCGTGGCCTGACTAATGGACTTAAAGACTTGTGAATTTGCTCGTAACATATCCTTCAGTTGATTCCGCTCCTCCAACGGTAACATTGTTCCTTCATTAGTGCCCAGAGAACTAAAGTCATTGATGGCCGGTGAAGTTGTTTCACTAGAAGCAACATCAACAATCTCCGGAAATGTATATTTATTTTGGAAGTTCGCTCCAAATTGCCAAGATCGGTTTGATAGGTCCAGCACAATCTCAGAATTCCTTATGAAGTCGGCTCCAAGTAGGGTGTATTCAGCATTAGGCAGAGCTAGGAAGTTTGTCAACACTGTATGGTCCTCTATGTTCACATCTGTAGAAAAAGTAGGTACCTTCCGAGTGTATATACTTCCATCTGCTAATGTAATTGTAACTGTTTCATATTTTATTTCTGATGATTTCTCAACATGGGTTTTATAAATCTCGAAAAGTCGTTTTCTTGCAATGTTCCTTGAGGCTGCTGTGTCTGCATAGGCAAGACCACTTTCACCAAAAATTGTTATTGAAAGAACAGGTCTTGACGGCTTGGAAGAATCACTTGGGACGTCGATTCCAAATAGTGTGGCTGGTTTTGGCTGGATTTTATTATTTGAAGTACTTCCTTGATTATGTTTTTTACATTTTGGGCAATTTTTCCTAATAACTCTTGGTGTTTCACAACCATAGCATGTAGGAGTAACTTTTTCTCTCTTATCTTGGCCACTTTCTTCGTTTTTCTCCCTAGGAAATTCATCTCTTTGTTTGGTTCTGCATTCTGCAACCTGGTGTCCTAAAGGTTGACAATAAGCACATTTTGGCCTTACACGATTTTTATTGTCGCTTGACCATTGTGTATTTTGCCTTGAATTCATATTAATCTTAATTGTGGTTTGGATTTCTTCAAACATAATTTCAATGGATTGGCTTCGCACCAGTATGTCCATGAACGTTTTTATGTCATCTCTGGGAATTTTATCTTTTATGCAAATACAGAAAGCAACACTATTCTTCAAGTCTTAAAGTTCAGATATCAATGAATAGGAAAAACAGCACTATCATGAAATTAACGAGCAAGATCTTATATACAAAAACAAAACAAAACTTGCAAAGTTTGTGGGAACTTTCCAGAGTCACTTCACCAGTTTATGACACTTTTCTGGCCCCACGTTGGGCGCCAATATAACAAAGCACTGTTAACACAAGTTTCGTTTGATATGACTACTTTATTTCGCAGAAAACTCTAACATTTTTAAATTATTTTGATTGATTGATTCACAATACAGTTCACAAAAAATTCTATCAGTTTGCATATGGCGATAGGTAATAGGTTATATAGGTAATATGGAGATATAATAAATATGGGTTTGTTACAACATTTTATTCCCTTTGAAATTCCTAGACACATGTTTCAAATAGGGAAACCTTGAAACAAACTCGAAGTTGATATGAAACTGACAACTAAAGTTGCGAATCTTTTTACTCATTAATTCCTGAGAAAATCATAGAATTCCTGCAAAATCGCCTTTGAAGGTTCCTGAAAAATACTTGGAGCCATCCCAAGAATTTGAAACTTTCAGGATTTATTAATAAGAGTTTTGTCAAGACAAAATAAATTGGAAGATGATATGAAACACAACCAAAGTTGCGAATTTTTTTAACTCATTGATTCCTGAGAAAAACATTAAATTCCTGTAAAATCGCCTTTGAAGGTTCCTGAAAAATACTTTGAGCCATCCCAACAATTTGAAACTTTCAGGATTTATTAAGGGTAAATAACACGTACCCATTAAAAAAATCGTCATTGTTCCCCAACCAAAATATTTCCAATAACACACGAAACAAATGCGCGATCCCTGACGGGGTTGTTTATTTTATTTTCCAGTTCGCATCCCGTGCACGCATACAAAATATTCATTACTAGCGGGGATGCATCGTGAATTCAAACCATCCATAATAATACAACATACAACCCCCCTGAAGCCAAACTTTACCGGAGCATCATCATCACCTGTCTTTATCTATTGTGTGCACGGAACAGCCCTTCTCGAATTTTAGCTGCTGTAAGGGATTTTATGCCTTGTAAAATGTTTATCCTAGAGCTAAAGTCAATTAGGATTTTCCTTTTAAATTGAAGTAATTGGAATGAATTTTATTCTAGTAGAGCATAAAAATGTTGTTTTGTTATTGTACATGGTTTTGAAAGCTCGTTATATCCGTTGCAGTTTTCTATTTAATAGAAATGGTAACAAAGGACAAAATCTAGCAAGGAAAAGATTTTATATAATGTACATTTTCCTTTTAGAAATTGTTCTGCGAATGGCTTTTTAATATTTGTTGGAGAATAAAACTTATTAGTGATAATAAAAATCCTAGAAAATATCTGACTGAATAGAAAGGTCAAGTGATGTTTTAATCTAATTTAGAACCTCTGCTCTTGAAACAGTATTGAAACGTTAAACTTGAATTTGTCGTATTAACTAAAAGTCAATGGGGGTTGGCGGCTTTCCCAAGACATCGACACCTAAAATTAAGAGTATTATCACAAATCACCGTGTTGCTAATAGGTTAATATAACCTAAAATTGATGTTTTTTTTGAAAACTAGTCACGTGCCAAAAACTACAAACGTTTTCTCTAATATTCTCACCTTATAACTATTATAAATACATTGCAAATATTATACCTGAAACCCCCTCTGATAAATTCCTCTCGTCTATACAAAATCCATATCCATTGTTCTCTTCCCCCATCTCAGACATATACTCATCCGGCATTCTCCTATTGTTACAGGGCACAGACAAAGAGTCCCACTACCCCAACATATCGAAACCGTACATGCGAAGCACCACAAATCAATGCAACTATAGAAGATACAGCACGGAAGGTTGGCCAGGTGGCACGCCCGTTATCGAACTTGACGGTAATCACATAGAAGGAGTCACTAGAAGTAAAGTGTCACGGAGCAGTAGCAGTCCTGCGCACGAAGAATCGCTAGGATTGAGCAGGTTCAATTCGGCGAATCATTCAAGTAGCTGCGTGTTTTTGCTCGTAATGGTTTCGGCGATACTCGTCTGGTTCAATCGTTGAACTACTTTGATTTTGTGATAAACTTGTTTTAATTTTCGCGTTATGGTCCTCGGTAAACTGAGGAAACTCGTCAGTAAACAAGCTGCTGTGGTGTGAACAATTTTTTCCTCTATAAGTATTTTAATTGTTTGTTAGATAATTCGAGTCATGTCTATACTAGTCCGTTCGGCCAGCAGAGGTGTTTTTTACTTGTGTATATTTCAGAGAGAGAATAAGAGTTTGTTAGCAAATGTGCGGTAAGATGTTTTGTTGGTGAAGCGTAGAGAACTAAATTATTTTAAAATTGATGCGCAATGAAATATTTGCGCATTGCTAATAAGTGCGGCTGCGCAATTACAATCTTGCGTGAATTAAGTCTTACTTACTTAAATGCAATTTTATTTGTTTGATTTATGTGAAAATCAATCTTCAATATCTAATTTAATGGGCAAAAACTATTTCGTTTTAAATTTTTCAATACGCTTTACCAAGAATCAAAATCAAGGACAGCAAATTTGCCGCGTCAGGTCTGTGATGATATTTCGTAGTTAATTAAGCACTGTAATTTTTGTTTTTTTTTTTTTTTTAATTTTAGTTCCAAATTTTCTGTATAAAGATTCTATAATTGGGCAATTCTATGGTAAACTGTTTCATCAACCGATTGTAAATTCATCTCATCTGTATAATACCGTAGGATTGCTTTATAAACAATCCTATTCCCACGTAGATTGGCTATTGTTGTTAAAAAAAAAATACATAGATTTTTGATTCGCTAGGTTCTGTCAGACATAGAAAATAAAAATCTTTTAGAAAATATATAGAAATATAATTTGTATAAAAAATTTACTTTGTATAACAAGTGTATGATTTTTTTTTCTAAAAGAACTGCGACCAAGTACAATCAATAAATAAATTTGCATAATTATGTCTGACATGATCCTAAAGGATATACGTATACCATTTAATAAAAAAAAATGCATTATAATAATAGAAATATGAAGTTATATCGTTCCTTTTGTATATTTATTATAAATATTAATATTGTATCGTGTATATTTATTTTGTACATTTTAGTAATTATTGTAGTTTTTTCTGACTGGTGCTATATAAGTTTTTTATCCTAATATTTTTTTTTGTAAATGTAATTCTTATTTATTATTTCGTGCTGTTGAACTGACAATGAAATCACCCCCCCCCCCTTTTGTACAGTGTAGATATCTTGTGTAAAATATTTTATAAATAAATTGCAGTAACTTCTAGCAATATTATATTTTTGTTGTTTTATTTCCGGAGTTTCGTTATTTCAGATATTCATATTTTATTGTACGGTGAAGAGTTTTCGGAACTATGGTAAGTATATCGGATTGTCTAAATAAAAGAAAAAAAAAATCGTAAACTTTCAGCTGCATGCTTTGGGGAATTCTAGATGAAAATGCTTTAAAGTTTTAAGAAGCTTCAAAGTCCTTATTTTTCAGGAATTTTGCTTGAAAATTTTCAGCATCTTGGAAATGTATGAAATCTTTGGTTTATTGAGAGTCTTCAAATCAAGAGCCTGTCAAGTACTTATTTTGGTCCCGACTTCAAAATTTTTAGAAGCTCAAAGTCTTCAGAAATTTCTGACAGAGATTTCTTCAAGTTTTCAGTGGTGCATCTCCGAAGTTCTCAGGGCTTGTTGTTGAAGATCTTTCGCTAGTTGAGAGTCTTTCCTTTCAAATCAAGAGCCTAAAGTTCTGTCAAGTCTCCATTTTGGCCTCAAACTCTTCAGACATTTCTGGAGAAGATTTCTTCAAGTTTCCAGTGATGTATCTCCGAAGTCCTCAAGGCTTGTTGTTGAAAATCTTTAGTCTTTAGATCAAAGGTATCTCTTTGAAGTCTGTGAGTATCCATTCTGGCCTCGACTTCAAAATTTTCAGAAGCTCAGGTCCTAAATGAACACAGTCTTCAGACATTTCTGGATAAGATTTCTTCAAGTTTTCAGTGGTGTATCTCCCAAGTCCTCGCAGGGCTAGTTGTTGAAAATCTTTAGTCTTTAGATCAAATGTATCCCTTCCAGGTATCTGAGATCTTTGGCTAGTTGAGAGTCTTCTTATTCAAATCAAGAGCCTGAAGATCTCTCAAGTCTCCAGTTTGTGCTCGACTTCAAAGTTTTCAGAAGCTCATCTCTCAAATAAACAGAGTCTTCAGACATTTCTGACAAAGATTTCTTCAAGTTTTCAGTGGTGTATCACCAAAGTCCTCAAGGCTTGTTGTTGAAAATCTTTAGTCTTTAGATCAAAATGTATCTCTTTGAAGTCTGTGAGATCTTTGGATAGTTGAGACTCTTCTTCTTCAAATCAAGAGCCTAAAGATCTGTCAAGTCTCCATTTTGGCCTCGACTTCAACATTTTCGGAAGCTCAGGTCTTGAGAGAACAGAATCTTCAGAAATTTCTGACAAAGTTCAAGTTTTCAGTGGTGTATCTCCCAAGTCCACAGGGTTTGTTGTTGAAAATCGTCTTTAGATCAAATGCATCCCTTTGTGTGAGATCTCTGGCTAGTTGAGAGTCTTCAAATCAAGAGCCCAAGGATCTGTCAAGTCTTCATTTTGGCCTCGACTGTAAATTTTTCAGAAGCTTAGGTCTTAAGTAAACAGAGTCTTCAGACATTTCTGACAAAGATTTCTTCAAGTTTTCAGTGGTGTGTATACCAAGTCCTCAGGGCTAGTTGTTAAAAAGCTTTTGTCTTTGAGATCTTTGTCTAGTTGAGAGGCTTCTTATTCAAATCAAGAGCCTAATGGCCGATTGCACCGTTTGCCTAAACAACGTTTAAGTGTTTGTGTGTGTAATTTGAAAAATGACTTGCACCGTTCACTAATCAACGTTTAGCGAACTTTGAATATTGATTGAACTAAACGTCCAATTTTTGGTAATTAAAACATTGATTAGGCAGTCGTACGTGTTTTCTTTTTTCTTTTTATTGTTCCATTGCAAGTTTCACATTCAAAAGAAAAAAAATCCTAGTGTATCAGTTGGTGACTCTTCAAGTTAAGTTTTCGTTTAAATTTTGCTTTGCAAGTGTCACATTCAAAAGTATAAATATCCGAATGGGTTAGTTTGTGATTCTCTAATCGCTTGTCATTTAAATTTTGCTTTGCAAGTGTCACATTCAAAAGGAAAAATATCCGAGTGTTTCACTTGGTAATTCTTCAAGTCGAGTTTCCATTTAAATTTTGCTTTGCAATTGTCACATTGAAAAGGATCAAAAATCCGAGTGTATGAGTTGGTGACTCTTTAAAAGGCAGTTTTATTTAAATTTTACTTTGCAAAATTCACATTCGAAAGGAAAAATATTCAAGTGTGTCACTAAATGATATTTTAAAATTGATTTAGTTTTGAATAACATTGACGATATGTTTTTAAATGACTTGATATTCTGGACATTATTAGGTCTGTTGCAACTTCCACCCTGCCAAAAAACTGTCCCAAGAACGTTTTCGGAACCATTCTGTATACAAATTTCGGATTCAACGCACAAATTCCACGTTTTGCGCAGAATCCTGACGGTACTCTACTGGGTTGGAACAAAGCTATGGGGGTCAGATTTCCCTGAGAGGATTACCAGAGAAAAACCATTTTCAAGAACTGGATAACCTGACATTTCTCAGAGGTTTTCGGCTGATAAAAAATACAGTTTTGTAATTGCTGGAACTGATCTACCTAATTTAGATTTATTTTGTCTTGGTTCTTCAAATTTTATAATTTCTGTTGAAATGCATGCAGAAAATGAACATTAAATTGAAAAAACACCAGAGTTTGATCACGAGGTCCTGACGCACAAAGCAAAAAATAACACGACAAAAAATTAACAAGGACTCGAAAAACTTTGCTAGCCAATATTTGTTTGGCAATTTGACTTTGTCAGGCTTTATAAACATGAATTTGCGGTTATGATTGTGCCTTTTAGCATTGTGAAGTTAGCCAAAACCTTGCCAAAACGGAAAATATTACGTTGTTGCCAAGTACTTTCTCCGCTCAACTAAACACCGTTTAGTTCTAGACGGTGCAAATCACAAATATATAAACGTTGATTAAAAACCAATCACTAATTAGCTAAGCATTGTTTACGGCGGAGACAAAACACACGGGCATAAAGATCTGTCAAGTCTCCAATTTGTGCTCGACTTCAAAGTTCTCATAAGCTCAGATCTTAAATAAACAGAGTTTTCAGACATTTCTGGAGAAGATTTTTTCAAGTTTTCAGTGATGTATCTCCAAAGTCCTCAAGGCTTGTTGTTGAAAATCGTTAGTCTTTAGATCAAATGTATCCCTTTGAAGTATGTGAGATCTTTGGCTGGTTGAGAGTCTTCTTCTTCAAATCAAGAGCCTAAAGTTCTGACAAGTCTGCATTTTGACTTCGACTTCAAAAGTTTCAGAAGCTCAGGTCTCAAATAAACAGAGTCTTCAGACATTTCTGATAAAGATTTCTTCAAGTTTTCAGTGATGTATCTCCCAAGTCCACAGGGGTAGCTGTTGAAAATCTTAAGTCCTTAAATCAAATGTATCCCTTTAAAGTCTGTGAGATCGTTGGATAGTTGAGAGTTTTCTTCGCCAAATCAAGAGCTTTAAGATCTGTCAAGTGTCTATTTTGGCCTCGACTTTAAAATTCTTAGAAGCTCAAGTCTCAAATAAAAAGTCTTCAGATATTTCTGACAAAGATTTCTTCAAGTTTTCAGTGTTTCAAATGTATCCCTTTGAAGTCTGAGAGATCTTTAGCTAGTTGAGAGTCTTCTTCTCCAAATCAAGAGCCTAAAGATCTGTCAGGTGTTAATTGTGGCAAACGACTTTAAATTTTTTAAAAGCTCAGAGGCATTTTCTCGCGGGGCGAATGGTTCGAACTACGGTTTAAACCAATTTCTAGATGACGTCATAACTTGTGATCGCGAGAAATTGGCAAAGATAATACACACTACTACTACAGGATGGCGTTTCCTCATAAGTCCTGTGTGTGACAAATCCCCCCAGCGCCAAATTATCAGTTGTGACGTAGGCAGCATGTCATTTCTTACCTGAACATAGGCTGTTTAAACAGCTGACGACTTAGTTGATGACGTCGGAATTGGTAACATACCAATATGGCGGCGATTACCAAAAACGAGGCCGATAAGCAATCCTGTAGGTGTGTATGTTCCTTGAGAAAATGGAAGGTATGAACCACAGTCTTATGTCAACGGAGAACAAGCCATGAGTCCGGTTCGAACTTTTTTGAACCAAGTTCAATGTGACGTCATTGATTCAACGCAAGACTGTACAGATTCGAACCTAATTGAACCGGATCGAACCAGTTCCACCGCGAGAAAACAGCTCTGGACCTAAGTGAACAGAGTTTTCAGACATTTCTGACAAAGATTTCTTCAAGTTTTCAGTGGTGTATCTCCCAAGTCATCAGGGCTAGTTGTTGAAAATATTTAGTATTTAGATCAAATGTATCCCTTTGAATTCTGTGAGATCTTTGGCTAGTTGAAATACTACTTATTCAAATCAAGAGCCTATAGATCTGTCAAGTCTTTACCTTAGTCCCGACTTCGAAATATTTCAGAAGCTCAGATCTTGAATGAACACTTGAATTTTCTATAATACGTGTCATTTCAGATATCAGCTGCTTTAATCCATTAACATTTAATATTTTTTCAAATTTTGTGATTATAATAATTTACATTAAAATCTCCAGCATGAATAATAATAATATTTAATTCCAAGAAAAAGATGCATTTTTCATTAAAGAGTTGAAAAAAATGTGTGATATTAACCTTAGGTGATCTGTAATAGACACATAGTTATAATATGTATGATGATTTACTTGGACACGAACATGAAGATACCAATACTCATAATTTACTGAAATTGTTTCAGATTTAAAGTCTATACTTTTAAAAACATATACTAGTATACCCTCGGTATGTTTTGAATTGGAATTGCATTTATATAAACTGTAATTTTCTATTTGTAATTCTATTTGTAATAAAACGAATAGGTATAAGATGATAGTAGCTTTATTGAACATCTGAGTAACGAAATTGTGCAGAAAAAAAAACACTTTGGAAACAATGAATACAATATAAGTAACAGTTGCAGACACAGTAGGAATACCAGAGGTAATCCAAAACTTTTTAAAAATTCACATAAAATGACAATACTAGAACAGAAAATAGATAATCCCGAAATCCTCAATGTAGTCTCAGAAGAGATAACAGCAGCGGAAATTTATCCTGCAAAATCACCCAACGTGAAAATG